TAATTACATAATATAAACAGTCTGCTTACAATATTTTCTACTTTTACTGAAGTCATGAAAAGGTGGTAACATTTGACTTATTTTTATAAAGAAATTTAAAAAAAATCATGAAATATTTAACACTATTAACATAATTATACTCTAGGAAAAGTACAGTGGGATCAAACAGTTTTTTCAAGAGAAATTGAGTCAGTAAGGGTTGTTTTCTGCTCAGAAGTGCCTGGTGGTAGCCACTAGGAGAGCCAGCGGGTCTGTTCACCTGGGCCCGACATGCTCTTCTGCTGCAAGAGCTCATTGGGACCAGGTCTGGAGATGAGTGTGGGGCTGCAGAGCTCTCACTCACCCTCAGGGGCCTCTGCTCCCTCACTGAGATGGGGTTTATCCCCAGGTTTCAGCCCAATGTATTTTGACCATGTCTGTAACAATATAATTAAAAAAAAAAAAGAGAATACAGAGGTACACATTCCATTTTATCTGTCTGCTTCCCTTGATCTTGGTGGAGGGAGGGGAGCTGCTTGCTAGTCAAACATTTACCCACTAGCAAAGGTTGGTAAACTCTGTCACAAACAGTGTGCAAACAGGGACACCTGCCTTTCTGTAAGGAAAGATGCTGAGGGTCACCCCCTTGCTATGCTGCTGACTGGATTCAGCTCCTGTGCTGTTTCTACCCAATCTGACTGCCTTAGTTCTGTCCCCACTGGTGCTGTGAGCTGTATCAATTCATAACTGACATTACTGGACAAGGCTGCTGTGGCTTTAGAGAACAGCTCTTAGCACTGGGATGGAACCTTTTCTTTGCAGTCAGTGGAACAGGCAGGACACACACTTGCAAAAGCAATGCCACCGAAATGCAGAGTTCATGCATCTGTGGACAGGAAAGAAAAGAAGGAATTTCATGCATTTCTTGGTTTCTAAGTTCCCTGAGCTATGCTGCTATAAAAGATGCCACAGATCTTCTTACATACTGCATAACACTATGTCATCTTGCAAAGAAGAACCCCCGTTTTTTAGAAAAACTTGCTTTGCTTCAGCCACTTTCAAGCTTGTGATGATTTTCAGGATTTTTCTCTAAACAGACTCTCCACTTCTGTGAACATGTAAGAATATTTATTCCTCTGGTCGTATCAATTCTTTCTACAATTGAAATTTCAACCCAAATTCTGTTCTACTCAGTAAAACAGTTTTCCTGCAGTGTCAGTGAGCTGAAGTAATCAGACCTTTCAGTGCTCCATAGTCTTTCCAGATTAGATGATGCTTCAGTCCCAGCTCTTTTTTAAAAAGCACTGTTAAGATCTGTTTTGAGAAAAGTAGAAAGATTTCTCTTAATTTCAGAGAGGGCTTCTTTCCTCTCTGTGTTTGTTTGTTTGTTTGGTTCTTGTTGTGGTTTTGGGGTTTTTTTGGCTTTTTTTAAAAGCAGTATAATCATTTACTCTAATGAAACAAGATATTTCCTTCCCTTGCAAAGGATCACAGAGAACCTGAGACGCCTTTGTTTATGATATGTGACAAAATTAATAGCAAATCAGGAATGACTCTGAACTGGAGTAACTTCAGTGGCTGTTGGTGGAATTACAGTTCTCTCAGGGCATTTGGCATCATGGAGGACTAGGGCCTCTGTGAGCTATTCCTCTCTTCCAGACCTGTGATGCTCAAGATTTTCACCAAGGATCTATTACAGCTTTCTAGCATATTGCCTTAATCACAGGGCATATTCTTCTTTCCACTCTAATTGTGTGACTAGTATCCCACCGACTTGATGAGAAAGCTGGAAAAGCCTATAGATTACTGTGTAAATTAATGCAATGCCATATGGTTCTAATTGTACACTGTCTTGTTGTACTCTGCAGCAGCTAGAAGTAGCATTTGCTACTGATATAGCCATAACAACACTGTGTTCATATTAGTAATATACACTTACACAAAGAACATAAGGAAAATAGATAATAAAAATTATCAACAGATTTTTCAGATTACAGGAAATTCATGGCTGTCAGTAAAACATTAAACTATTACTGCTGTCACTCAGAGACATTTTTTGGTACTTGACAAAAGACACAGCTCAGTGTTAGTAACATGAGGCTCAGCCTCACATACTACATATAAAATGTGTAAATATTAATTCAAGGATGAAAGCATTCAGCTGAACAAGAACCATCTGGGAGAATGAGACGGGTGGATGAGAATGCATTAATTATAGAGTAACGTGTATATATTGGAAATCCATGGACCTGCTTTGCATGAAGAGCCTTTTCATATCGATAATCACAATACATTTCTAACTCCTTCTTGGACAAGTCTGCTTTCTGACCTCTGTTTGCCCCAGCAGGGATAACAGAGTGGCACTGTGGAGTGATCATCATAGTTCCTCATCAGGCCAGCACCTGCACAGCTCTGGCTCCAAATCCTTGGATCTGCTTCATGCAGAAAAGTTTGAAGAATAATAATGTTTATAAGAATAATATAATTATTTTAAAAAATATTTCTAAAGAAATCAAGCATGAGATATTAGAATGCAGCACAGTGAATATGAAGTTACTGTTGCTTTCACTAGGGCTGGACTCTGAAAGGTAAGCAGGACAGACTTTCAAATATCTAAGCACCTACCTCCCAGCTCCCAGTATTTTCAAGAAAACTAGGTACCAATATCACTTAGACATCTTAATTTTTAGTAGTCTCAATTCTTCTCAAAATTAATATGAAGTTCAATGTTTTGTTCTTCCTTAGCAGGTAAGGTGGGAAGGTAGATAAAGAAGGGGAGTTTTATATGATGCCGAATTCAATCCAGTGAAATGCTGGCCTCCTATGTGTAGTTGAATGCAAGGGTGCAAGAATGTGAGCACATATAGTCACCATTTTGCATATACATATTGTATGATTTGAAACACTGTCATTTTGGTATAGCTTGCAACAGAAAATAAATCACTAAGTTCCCTATTGCTGTCCAGATATACTCTACCTACAGAGAGGCACAGAAAGGAAATGTATTTTTATGTTGCTTAAACCACAGATCCTATTCAATCATTAACATGTAAACTCTTTTTTTCATCCCAAATTGCTAAACAGTTGTGTGATAGTAATTGGGAAGGAATTCTGTCATACCAAAAGCTGTTCATGCACAGGAGATCTCGGTTCAGTCCTGCCTTTGCTACTGAATTCCTGGATGGTTTTGGACAAGCCATTTAATTTGTGTTTTCCTCTGTAAAATGAAAATATATTTTTGCTGTCTTCTATTGCTTCTGGTTTTTGTTTTTAAGCTGTCATCTCAGGGAAAGATGCTCTCTTTAGATAGAAATCTAAATACAAGTGCCTCATTCGATTTGGCTTTGTGGTGCAAGTGTAATTCAATTAATTACTGTAAGAAATATGAACCTATTATGGATTATGCCCAGTATAATAAATACATAATCCCAGGGACAACCTGTGGCATATTTCTCTGCTGACAGCTTTCCTGGCTCTGTTACACTGTGCATCTGCTTTTTCTCCCAGAGGAATGCATTCAACACTGCTCCAATGATTGCAGTCATGCCCCCGTTCAGAAGCCTTTCTGCAGCTCTATCTTCACATGGACAGCTTGAGTCTCAGACTGACCAAAATCACAGGACAGAAGAGAATCTCCCCAGCTCTGTGCATGCAGCCTCTGTAGTTAAAACCACAAGGTTTCTGAACTGCTCTAGTCTGAACCACTGATAGATATTACTTGTGTTCCCACTAGGTCTATGAGATGCACAGGCTTTGCAGTGACATCTCCAATATGTGCCGAAGGAAGCATCCTCCGCCCTGCCGCAGCACTCAACCTTGGCCGCCACCTTTACCCCCGGCTTTCTACAGCTGGCGCCGTCAGCGCTGCACCCACGCACCACAAAGCCACCTGGTGCCGCTGGTCTGCAAGCGATGCCGAGACACAGCCTCTGTTCCTGCGGCCACGGCACTTATGCCCGACGGCTGCGGCCCCGACTCCTCGGGGAAGGCACCGTTCAAACGGAGAAAGGACGCTCTATACCTGGGGAAAGTGGAAGTGCTGGAGCTGCCCCCACAGGGAGCGTGCCCCTGGGCCGCTCCCATTCCCCTGCTTAGCTTTTCAGGGCTCAGCGGATGCTTGGTTTGGAAACGACGAGCAGCAAGAAGGCAGAGCAGTTCAGTCAGCTCCGTCCTGTCGCTCCCTGCCACCTCGCTCCCGCCCTGTCGTTCCCGGGAGGTGGCAGTGTTCCCCCATAGAAGCCACTCGGCCCGCTCCGCTCCCAAACCGGCAAAGGAAGCCCTTTAAACTCCCTCTCATCCGTTTTCCACCGATTTACGGAAAACGGATTTATCGCGCGTGATCTGATCGGTAGAAGGCCAGGTGGGCTTGCGGGAGAGAAAGTTGCGAAGTGCCGCAGCACCGCCGGAACTACGCGATCATGGCATACGTACTTATTATACACGTGTATACCCATGTATGTATATGTACATGTATATCAATATACATGAGGCAAAGGATCTCTAAAGACGGGCATAGAGATGCACGGGCATCTCTAAACACGGGCACAGAGATGCGTTTAGCCGCGGTGCCATTTACATTTCGCTCGTGCATTTGGGAGAGGTGGGTGGAAAACCGCGACGATGCGTGTCGGCTGTCCGTGTGCCACACTGTACCCGTATACGCTCACAGGCGCCCTTTTAAATCCTCCCTCCTCAGGGGACAGGTGCGGGATTCTGGCCTCGTTGGCCAGGGCAGCTCGCAGAGGTGCTGCAGCACGGACGGTCCGTAGGACATCCCCGGACCCGCAGCGGTTTCTGACGGACCGGCCGCCCCTCACGGCCCCACAAGTTTCTGTGCCCTGATCACCCGGTCTGGCTCTTTATCAAAAGCCTCCTTCTTTTCCCTTCCCCGCAGGGGGAAGGTGAGCCTTCGCACCCCCAGTGCGGCCCCTTATGCGCTGCCTGCCGGAGGGGGACCGCAGCATTCCCCCGCGGCGGGTCCGGCCCCGTGGGCTGCGGGGCGGGGCAGGGCGGGCACTCACCTGACGATGAAAATACATGGACAAGAGTTGCCGAAGAGCCGCCACGACGCAGACCACGGAGTAGAGGGCCATGATGGCGATGGCCGTGAACAGCGGAGGGGCCGCCGCCCGCGGGCACGCGGCAGGGTCCCGCCGGCCGCCCGCGCCTGCCATTGCCGCCACCGGCATGGGCTCGAGCGGTTCCAGCCCAACGCCGCCGCCGAGGTGTTGCCCCAGGCGCCCGGCGGCGCGGCTGTTGCAGGGCGGCCGGCGGGAAGGGCGGCAGGCGGAGGCGTTGGCGGCGAACGGGACCTCGCAGGGCGCCGGAGAAGGAGCAGGCGCGGACGCCGTTGCCTCAGCATGGGGTAAGCGGCAGCCAATGCGCGGGCCACTCTGCTCCCATCGCGCCGAAGGGACGCGGTGCCGGCGCGAAAGCTGCTTGGCGCGGTGCGGGGAGGTGGCAGCACTCGCCATCCCCGGACGGAGCGCCCGCCGCTGGTGCGGGCACATGTGTGCGGCGGGCGGGTCGGGGCGGGTCGGAGGAGGGGCCTGCGGAGGCAGGAGGCGGTGGCCGCCTGCCCCGCCGCCCGTCGCCGCTCTCCCAGGCCGGCGGGAACGGTGGCGGCCGCTCCCCGGCCCGCCCCGAGCGGAGCCCTTCCCGGGGCGCGCCTGGTGCGGAGCAGGCGTAGGGCGGCGGGCGGCGCGCCAGCAGGCTTCCCCTTCCTTGCGGGTGGCACTTGAAGGCAAAGCGCTTAAAATGATCCCTACAAGAGCGCCGCGGGCATCGGAGGCAAACACCGGAGAGAAAGTCCCGGGGAAGATTGGCTTGGCGGGATAAAGGCTGGTGCAGGGAGGAGATCAGTACGCTACTGATCAACGTAGTGATCCAGGGATCTTGACAAAACGATGTCCTCAGTGATTATAGAGATAACTGAGCCGTATAATAAAATGTGATGAACTTTACGGCAACACGAGGGGTGATTGTGAATAGAATTGTCTTTTGGAAGTGACTCGGATCTCACAGATCCTTAGGATTTTCGGAGAACTTTCTGTGCCAGAGCTGCAAGGATGCTCTCCCATAGATGTTACTGTGATTGTAATAGGGTGCGATAACACAGATAAGGAAAACATCAGCATCGTTCACTTCAACTGCACATGCATTGTACTGGGTGCTTGACTCGCACACTGCTTGTTTGCACCAGCACCTTTCTGTGATCAGTTTGTTCCAGGTGAGTACAGAGGTGCAACTCCAGGTTTTCCTGCTGATCATTAGTTACTAGAACTTAGCTCCTAGTTATTTTCACTAATGAAATCAGAAGAGAACCTTAGTAACACAGGAAAAATACCTCCTAGTGAACAGGAAGGAGATAAGAGTGGCAGTGATTGCACCTGCTGCCTCATCATGGACGCACACTTACTGTATCTGCTCAGCCTTTGCAGAGCACCCCCTGCTACTTCAAGAGTGGTAATGAAAGAAGTGGAGAAGAAACAAGTTGCAACGTAACAGAAAGATGCAGAATCCCAGGCATTTTAGTCTAAAGACTTCTTGTCCTCCTGTGCCATAAGCAATGGGAACCAGTGCTGATCAGGGCAGGTAGCAGTAGCAGAGCTGACCACACACTCTTTCAATGTATATCTGATCATTTGTGGGGAGGAAGAAGAGGGAATGGGAAAGGGGTGCCACTGGACTTCGAGGGGGACACAGATCTGGGGAATTTGTATTCCTGTTTTCATTCCATAGTGGAATGGAAGGAGAAGATTGACTAAGCTGTTAATGGGCACATTTAGTAGATAGCATGCATTGCTTTATGGCCAGAGAGCGCATTTTCAGCATCCTTTATTGGTAGGAGAGAGCCATTTAGCATCACATTCAGAAGAGCTTTAGAAAAGGAGTTATTTTGTCTCTGGAAAAAACTGTGGACAAGGGGAAATGAAAGCAAGAACTCACAAGAGATTTCGCATGGTCAAAGTCACTGTCTCTTTATCCCCACCTGAAGTATAGCATTTTTAATCCTACACAGAGTGGGAGGAACAAGGCTTTAAAACTAGACCATTCTCAAAGACTTTCATCTCTGGGTATGTGCACAGTGTGCAGGAGCCTCTCTCTGTGCTTGCCCTTTGTTGCACCAAAGCCATAAGAAGAGTTGAATGTAAGCCTGGACACAATTAGTATTTAGCCCTTTGAATACAACTGGGCCTGGCTGTTAAAAGGAGGGGGAAGATGTGGTACAAAAATCAAGGCTGCCAGTATATCCACTCCGTACGCTGGCCTCTGCATTTCTTCTCATTAGCTACCACCGTTTACCCTAATCTCTTATTTGCCTGGCTAGCTCTTGGGCTCCTTCTGCCAAAATCCACACAAGTATTTTCTAGGATTTGAGAGGCTTGGGTAGGACTGTGGTGTGCCTTAGTAAAGGGGAGATGGACAGGTGCTAATGGAGTCAAAGGAAAACCAACTCAGTTTAGGTGTCTAGTACAAGTCAGTGTCAGAGAGGTTACATTTGAGGCAGGTCACTGGTCTAGCATAGCAGGGCTTTTCCTTCACTCTTAGAAGTGTTTAGCTGTGTGGGAATCAGGTGCTGACTTGGGGAAATGAGAGTTATCCTGACTTCTGGCATGAAATCTGTGTGCACATCATTTAAAGTGGTACGTTTAGAGTTAACTTCTTTCTTCTCTATAGTAGACATGTAAGAACTGAGTTTGGAAGTGAGGGACACCAACAGCCTGAATGGCCTGGAAGGCTGCTATGAATTCTGGGATGCTAGGAATATGTGACATGCTTGCTACAGTATGGGTCCCTAAAATTAATTGAATGCTTTAACAAATTTGATATTAACTTTTTTGCCTCATTTTCTAGCATATGGATAATAATAATTACAACAACAACAACAACAATAATAACAATAATAATAATGTATTGATAAATCATGTGTGAGGTTGGTCTTCAGTCAACTATCTTTGTGGAAAGTATAAGTTTCTGTATTCAGCTTTTTCCTTCTTCACAGAAAAGAAGTCTCAGTAATTTGCATTACTTCTGTATTAGTGACCCAGGTCACCTGTGTCTCCTTGCTAAATTTTGGCAGTGACTCTGCAGGTGAGGGTAGTCTGCAGAGTGGCAAATATTAAATTCTTTAGTTGAAAATAAGCACTTCAGGCTTCAGCATCTCTGAGTTCTTCTGTGCTTGTGAAAAATAAAATGTATCTTCAAAGTTTAATAAATGTAGCTATGAATGATGGCTTTTGTGTTTGCATAACAAGTTTGAAGGGCATCAGTGGGACTAGGCTGATGGGTGGACTAGATGAAGGTGTCTTCCATCCTTGATGATTCCGTGGTATAGACTGACTTCCTAATATGGCAAGACCACAATGCAGGTTCATTAGGTTTTGTTAAGGACTTTATTAACAGAACTATCCTTGAGAAAGCAATAATTTTGCATTTGCTGAGTGGGAGCTACATATTGAATGAGAAGAATGAAAGGTGTTCTAAAAAACTACCAGTGTACTGAATGACCTAAGAGTCTAGAGGAAGTTAGCATGTGATATAATTAAACATTATGGTAAGGGGAACACTTCAGTTCATACAATCTTATGTTTTCTAACTCTTGGATATTTTGACTCTGCAAGTTTAATTCTTGGTCATTGGTTAGGCTTTCCAAATCCAGTAGTTCAACAGAGGGGAGACTGCTGCGGCTCTGTGTCCTCTGGTCCAACTAGGAGCAAGAAGCAAGACTGAGCTTGTATTCCCAATAGTCATGCCTGCAAACACCTGTATAGAACCCACATATAAACTTATACACACAGCTGGCCACATAGATCAGCACAGGCAGATACTCAGCACTAACAGAAACACAAACAGCACCAACAGCCTTATCCTGTTCCCTTCTAGATGTTCAGGATGAGAGTCTGCTAGTTGGAACATATATATACATATACACCGTATGGTTCTCTTCAGTGAGCATCTGGGATCAGACAGTCTGCCCAGTAGTTGCTCCCTGCATCCCAGCTGTTTGCACCTGAACACAGAAGCCCTGAAGCCACAGCACCACACCAACACACACACAGGGGCACACACCAAGGCTCCCTTGGAATCATCCATAGACTCAGTGTACCCAGTAGCTGGCCTGGATCCCTCCCTTTTCCTGCCTGCGATTCCTCGCTTTAGCATCTCATGGTACATTTTTGTGCAATCCCAAGATATTCCTCCCCAGCATTCCATATTGTTTAATGAAATTAAATAATGCAATGTGGCAAAATAAAGAGATTGATTCTTGGAGTGAAAGAACACTAGTGAAACCTCTGCAGAGTGACATGGTGATGTCTGGCTTTTTGATTTATTCATGCTTTTATTTTGAGAAATAAATTAATTTCAAAATCAAAAGGAGAGGGAAAATGAGGGAAAATGTTGATTAGGTTTTTGAGAATTTTACAATGTGTGTTTTGGTTAATTTTAGAAATAGTTAAAAGTTACAGAATTTAAAATCTGTAACTGAAAATGAGCTCTACTTATTTTCAAATGAGGAAATAACCTCCATTTGCTCCTGTGTGAAGTGTGAGCTTATGATTCTTTCCATAAACCTAATTGGGGGATATTGTTGTCTGACATGTTTATCAAATGTAACATTCCATTGCCTCTATCTGCTTACATTTCCAAAACTTTTTCCTAGGCATCTTTTATGGATGTTTTTTAGGACTGCATTATTTACTCCATCCTTCAAACTCATGTCCTGTTCTTTCAAATACTTCCTTGTTTCTTATTTCCTCTGCAGCCCTTATAAGTGATAAGATATACATTTTCATCTACAGTAGGGAAATCTGTCCTTTGTAACTGTAATGATATAATTACCATTGTTCATGTTCCCATATGACTACCCTTAAGTTGGAATAATTGGAAGTTTTAAATAAATGGATATTTTAATTCTAATTATTCTTACATATAAAAATTTTAAAATGTCAAAGACAGCGCATATCTTGGTCAACAGCGGCTGTCCAAGCACAGTTTGATCTTCACATTGTATGTTTATAGGGTGGTTCTCATACAGCCACCTGTTGCACCAGTGGTTCAGACCTGAATGTATCATCAGTCATAGTGTGCATGTTCACCTGGTTCTCTGTGTCTTCATTAATTCTGTTCTTCAGCTGCCTTACAAGGGAGAAGATAGGGGTCAACTGCAAAGAAAAAACTAACCTGTCTCTCAGTACTTGTGCAAATGCTTAGGATGGTACCAGTGTCCTGGATTGTAGACATCACAGAATGGCTGAAGTGAGGAGGCCACTCTGGAGATCATCTAGTCCAATAGCCCACTCAGACCAGGGACACCTACAGCAGAGTGCTCAGGGCTGTCCTATTAGGTTTTGAATAGATGGAGACTCCAAAACCTCTC